TCGCTCTCCTTCATTCAACTTATCGAAATATTGCTCCCACGTGAATTCCAGATTTGCACTTTTTACACTACATACGTAGTAAGCAGCACTTGCCAGGACCAATGGTTGACGATCTAATTTTTCTGACAAATTCGTTAAAAACTCTTCATTATGATTATGAATATCGGTATAGAAGGATAGAAGTTGACGACATTCTTTATCATTCATACCATGACTAATTGAAATGTGTTTGTTTAGATTCCCATCTGGTGGTATAGCGTCTGTATTTTGAACAGTTACTACAATTTGTCCATTTTTCCAATTATGATCACCAACTTGAGGTAATAATGGATAAATCTTATCAAGTTCAACCACGTTATCTACAACAATCCACCATATTTTCCATAATTTCAATTTTTGTGTCAGCAGGAAATGAAAGTGTTTGATTCTGTCTTCGCTGCTATTTACCTTTTTTAAAATATTTTCAATAACAGATTCTCGGATGTTCAAACGTTGACAAAGTTCATTATAAGTTTTTAAGAGAGAGTCAGCATCTTTTCCTTCGAGTGTCATCACAAATGTAGCTTTATTTTCCCAGTCAACAGAGTTAAACATTTCGTTGCAAATTTGTCCAGCTAATTGAGATTTACCACTGCCAGGATTACCAGAAATATAGTAATATGTCAGTTCATTATTGTTAGTACTGCGCAAATTATTGAGATCTGCTATGATTTGATTAAGTAAATCTGTACGTTTAACTACATCGTGATTTGGTTTGTAAGGAAGTACTTGAAAAGAATTAAATTTGTTACGTTCACTTTTTATTTCATTAATTTCATTGAATGAAAACCCTAGATCTTTAAGAGACTTTTCAATATCACCGACCATTTTGTGAAATTCTGTATCAGATACTTGACCTTTATTTACATGAGTGAATTTGTTTCTTACGTTGCGAATTTCATTTACTGCATCTCTAACTTTTGGGTGAAGTTTTGTTCCAACTGAGTTGGAAAACAATATTGCTGCAAACAGTGTTGTACAATCCCACTTACTGGTGTCACCATCTTGAAAAGTTTGCAGAATATGTTTGTCATGAGGTTTCTTTTTTGTTTTTTCAATATTGAACAACTTTTGACCACTAACGTTTGTATTTTCCCATTGTCCAAGAGATTTTTTGTAATGTTTCTCCCATTCTTGCATAAATAAATCAGCAAGTTTCTTTTCAACGACATTTGTAAGTATTTCTTGTATAAAGTAGTTATTCCTTTTTTCTCTTGACTCCATCTACGGATCATAAAATGATGATAAGATGAGCACTAAATATTTATAAATACAATTTATAGACAACTGAACTAGTTGAAGATTAAGTTGGTAAATTTACAATAGTACATGAAATTGGTTAACCAAGGTGGCAGTTGAGCAAGTTGTTAAAAACCTTTCTAAAACATAATTTTAAGTCTAGCCTGAAAGCAATGCAAGCAGTTGGTCTATAGGTGTGTTTGCAAACCGATCTGAGCTCTACCAATTATATCAATCAATCAATTTAATTGAATTTGCAGATCAATCAAATTCATGTAAGAGGAAAAGTTAAAACGTTTTTCTAATTTGCCTGTTTTGCATCATTTAATGCAGTACGTCTTTATAAAAAACAAACAAAAGTGTTTGCGCTGGCTTATGTCAAGTTTGGAGAAGTTGTGAATTCTCCCAAAGGCCTCCACAGTGCAAAGACATTTACATGTGTAAAAATCTTTTATAAATTAACTATCTACATGCCATGCAGGTCATTTTATCACTTCACCGATAATATCATTAATAAATGTACTTTGTGTAATTCATCATAATATGACACACGACCAGTTTATTGCTATGAAATATGTGTAAAGTAAGAATAACGTAATGTTAAAGAAAACATGACCAGTTTATCCACAACACTATCAACACACGAACATCAACTGAGTTGCATCATCCTAACCATTCCTGAATGCGTTTCTACAATGATTTTTTATGTAAAGCTGACACAGACTGCGTATAATCGATATAAAATAATTACGAATATTTGTTGCAATTAATCATTCCATATAGTTATCTAAAGCAAAATTTTATCGATAATGCAGTCGCACCACACAGTATAAGAGTTTGAAAAATTTGGTTATATTAAAAAAAATCAATATAATAATAGTATTTTACATTAATTTATATTTAGCTGTGACAAAGGTCTTTTAAATCTGGTTTGTTTTCCGTTGGCGATGCAGAATATGCATCTTCAACATGAGATTTGAATGGGACATGACAAATGAATAAAAAAGTTTCATTCTTTACCTTCCATACAGAAAAACAGTAGGGATCAGAACATTTAAAACTGTGTGACGAGTCATGTGTCAATATTTGACTAAACATGTTTTTAATCATATAGCTTTGCTATATTAATATAATTTGAGATAAACTATTGAAATAAATCGGAAAAGTTTAAAAGTTTCCATTACTAAATCGTTACAAACGCAAATTTATTGAAAAATCCCATTAGAATCAACAAATGTTATCCATATAAAACATATACGTAACGCGGAAATGACTTTATTACAAATTTTTCTTGACATAAAGAAATAATTGATAAATGGACATAAAATATTAAATCCCAAAATTAAAATACATTATTACAATGACAGGTAAACTTTAAAATCAACATACCTTAACAAATTGAGAAGGATTAAAGACGCAACCAATTATATGATGTCTTTGCTTTTGCTTGATAATAAAGAAATTGGAATGTTCACTAAATGTTCAATTTTAATCACCTGCTGTTTTTATTGTAAAATATTGAATACTGTTCATAACAGCGAAGCGATAGAATGGGCAATGCAAATTTTATAGCTAGATAGCTGACTTCGCGACACTATGTGCATGTAGATAAAATTTGGTATCAAACCAATTTGCTTATTGGCTATAAAATGATAAAGTAAATTAGCTAGTTTACAGACAATGACCATTAAGATGAAGATAACTGGAACACTACCTTTGAAGCCAAAAATCGCGGGACTCTGGACACGCGTGTAATGTTAGGGTAAATAAGATAACGTTCCAGTGAGAGATTTTGAGCTTATTTGTCATGCCTTTAAAAAGATATTTTGTGATTATACTATGATAAATTCCTAATCAATCAAGTTCAAGAAAAATGCTGAAAGAAAGAGCTCAAAAATAGATTTAATATTAACGTTAAGTGAAAATTATTGGATTTAGGAATATAGGATTGTTGAATTAGTTTGTAGTTAGAAGCAGAGTTTATGGAGGTTATAGGAATTTGGTTATGCGGTAAAACAATTAAGTTGTTATGATCAAGAATAACTTTGTAAGAATTTGAAATCAAGTTGTGAAGCTTGAATTACAGTTATGACTTTGTGTTGTAAAGATATCTAATATAAGGAATAGGATAGTGGGAGGAAGTCGTTACATGATCACATTCACAGATGACTACTCTCGGTATACTATGGCATACTTCATCAAAAGCAAAGATGAAGCACTGACAAAATTCAAAGAATTTGTGTCCCATGCTGAAAATCAAAAGGGTCGTAAGTTAAAATTTTTGAGAAGTGATAATGGGGGTGAATATAGGTCGAAGGAGTTCACCAAGTTTTGCGCTGACAAAGGTATAATACAGCAATGTACATGTCCTTATACACCTGAGCAGAATGGTGTAGCCGAGCGTCTAAATCGTACACTCATAGAATCAGCTCGATCAATGATATACCACGCAAATCTACCATTGCACTTTTGGGCGGAGGCATGTAGTACTGCTGTTTACATCCACAATCGAACTCCCATAATGAAGTTAAAGGATAAAACACCTTTCGAGTGTTTGTTCGGAGAAAAACCAGAAGTTTCCAACCTTAGAGTGTTCGGATGCATTTGTCACGTTTTCATTGCTGACAGCAAGAGAAGAAAGTTTGACCCAAAGTCCTATGAGGCTATTTTCGTAGGCTATCCTTCAAACACGAAGGGTTACAAGGCGTATGATCCAAGACAAAATAAATTTGTAGTTAGTTGTAAACTTTGTAAAGTTTTCAGAGAAGAGATTCTTTCGTTTTGAGCGATCAGGGGACGAGAATGAAAGAATGACTAACGACACGGAGAATGATCTACACGTGGCTCTATACAACCCAAGGAGGACACAATCACCGATGCAAATAATCCAGTTGAACGTATCGAGCAGCCAGACGAACCAGGGGGAGAACCAGAAATTCCATCAGCGCCAAGAACATATGAAGAGTTATTGATGGAAAATGTACGCAATTTGGGACCCGTCAGACAGCGTAAGGTTCCTGTTCGGTTTACAGATGACGCATATGCGATGTTTGGATCTATGATGTCAGAAATTGATGAGCTAGAGAGCATTCGAGAAGCATTACATGGGAAGCATTCCCAACATTGGAAAGAAGCAATGATTTCTGAATATTCTTCTCTTCAAGACAACCAAACATGGAAATTGGTACCCCCAACTGGAAGCCAAAATGTGGTCGGCTCTCGGTGGATTTTCAAAGTAAAACGTAATGAAAATGGAGCAATTGACCGTTTCAAAGCGAGAGTAGTAGCACAAGGCTATTCGCAAAATAAAGGAACAGATTACGATGAAGTATTTTCACCCTAGCCCGGCATACATCATTATGAACATTATTGGCGTTAGCAAACGCACATGATCTTGAAGTCCACCAAATGGACGTTAAAACCGCATTCCTCAACGGAGAGATCGATCATGATATTTATATGGCACAACCCGAAGGATTCATCGATCCAGATGAATCATTTCTAATCATTTATGCAAACTGAATAGAAGCATTTACGGCTTGAAGCAGTCGGCCCGCTGCTGGAACGAAACCCTGGATAAGTTTTTAAAGTCACGAGGATACCGAAGATCCAACGCAGATGGATGTATTTACATCAAATCAAAGAAGTAGAACGAACTCATTAAGTTTGTGATAATTGGTGTCTACGTAGATGACATCGTTCCTATCTCGAACGACATTACCATGTTAAAGCAAGAAAAGGAAGCAATCAGCAAAAGATTCAAGATGGAAGATAAAGGCAATGTTCATTTTCTACTGGGGATGTTGATCCGACGTAACCGAGAAGCTAAGGTTATCACGATTAACCAGCACAACTACATCGAGAAGATTTTGGATAAATTCGGGATGCAGGATTGTAAACCTATAAGTACACCCCTCGAACCTTCAAAGAAGTTTTTTGAATGCTCGGATGATGAAGAGAAGTTTGACACGCAAACTTATCAACAGGCAATTGGATGTGTCACATATCTTTCAGTAATTTCGCGACCTGATATGTCAGTTGCAGTGGAAGTCTTATCCCAGTTCATGGCAAAGCCAAGTAAAGAGCACTGGAGTGGTGTGAAGCGTATATTACGATACCTAAAGGTAACAACAGATCATGGATTAAAGTTTTCGGCAGAAGGAAACCTTGACCTTTTAGGGTTTTCTGATGCAGATTGGGCTGGAGACATTAATACACGCAAATCAACATCAGGTTACATTTTTCAAATTGGTAATAGCACAGTCAGCTGGTCAAGCCGAAAACAAAGAACGGTTGAAAGAGCACAACTGAAGCAGAATATGTAGCATTAAGTTACAACACGCAGGAAGCAATTTGGATTCAAAGATTACTTATGAACATTGGATTTAGAATGGAAGGACCAATTACAATCTTTGAGGATAATCAAGGAGCGATTGAACTTGCAAAGAATGCTAAGTACCACAACCGTACTAAGCATATTGACATTTGTCATCATTTTGTCCGAGTTCAGTCGAAAGAAGTCAATATTGTTCACTGCTCAACTGATGAAATAAAAGCCGATATTCTAACAAAGGATTACCAAAATTTAACTTTGAGAAATTGAGATCTTTGATAGGAATCACCACAACATGAACAGTATAGTTTAACGATTTATAACTTTTCATTATTTTATTTCGGCTAAGAGTTATCAAGGGAGTGTTAACAAGTGATAACTTTCCCGCGTAAAGTTTAATAACAGGTCATTGATTGGGTAATGATATAATTTAATTATGTTAACTATTAGAGGTGAGATGAGCACATTGGCATTGTTGATTTTGAGATGTAGAAGCACATATATTTTACTTTTATATATTATTCATTAAGCGTTTCAACATATATCGCTTTCGTTTGCTCGGTGGGTGAATGTTTAATATTAAGGAGCTTTACAACTTCAGACTAGATAGATTGCAAACCTACTAATCTCATATACACTGTAAATAGTGACAGAACATTGTATTTTATTAAATTTTTATTATAATCCCTTAGACGGTCGAAAAAGCCTATAAATCTGCAGAAACTTATTTGTTTAATTGGGACACTGAATAGGAACCTAGCACTTAAGGGAAATTAAGAAATTATTAAATATAAAAGCGCTGGCTGAACAATAGAATATAATTAGAGATGCAGTTTAGTGACCTTATTCAACTGGGTACTAATTACAATTGATGACGCACCTAGAAACTGACCAATCAAAACAAAACACGTTATCTCAACTTTTGCCATAGATCAAAATTAACACATGTACACTTTGACAAGATGTGATTTAAATCAGTTTCTCAGCTCGTACACTATGGTTATTCGGCAAAATTTGAGACCATTTGAGAAATATCTCTCGAATGTCTCGTTGAAATCAAGTTCGGGTATGTCTTTTGGAGTTTCTTTTAACAGAAAACTTTATCTTTGATCGTAGTGTTAAATGTTAACAGCATTTTGATCTTCATTCATGCAAAATATAAAGTCCAAATTCGTTTTCCTTAAAGTTTCCGTTTTGGTAACTAATACTTGTTGTTCTAAGCTTGATTTTAGACTTGAACTTATTTCTTTACAACAACAAATGATCACCAAACGCCTTCGAGATACATTGAACAAATCATGGTGGTTTATATTTAAAACGATGGTGGACACGTATAACTTGATCATTCTTCACAATGAAGATGGATTTAGCTTTTTCTAATAATTCCCGTGAGGCTGGGCTACATGTAATAATGAAGAATTTGTGCTATGGAGCTGAAAATTCTGTGATTTTGGTTGAAATTTCACTTCCTTTGAGCTGCTTTAACACTGAATAAACTGTTCATAGTAAGTACCTTTTTCTTCCTTAACATTTTGTCAGAATTTTGCAAAAGTATACATTTTACACTGCATGTATTAACTGTGATTGTGCTTTTCCTTTACAAATCCTCTGAACAATAATTAAGAATGGACAATACATTCACTGAGAATTTTAAAGTTCGCCAACGTTTTTGTCATGACAAACTACGAAAGCAAACACGAAATACTTCACAAGCACAAATGTGTCCCTTAGCTCGATAACGAATCAACGTTTTATTTTTTCGAAAAACTTTTGGGCATCTATGTGGCTTTACGTGCTGGGCATCAGATCAATGTTGTAATTGGCAAAGATACGTCATTCATCGATAAATTGGTTTTCGTCGAAAGGGTTTCGTCGTCTGTCGTTAAAATTGGCAAGGGATTCGCCGAAAACTGTGAGTGCAAATTTGTATTTACGTAGTATAGCCTGCTAACAGGCCTTATTTTTAATACAATTTGGGCAAAAAAGCAACTACAAATCCTGGTGTGCAGTATATTCCACTGTTAGGCTATTTTTTAATGCATAGAAATTTATAAATACACTTTTCTGTAAAATTTTGCACATGCATTATCAAAAATAATCTTGTTTAAGAGGCTATAAAAATTTTCTTTCAACTCGGTCAATTAATTTGTTTTTTTGGTTTGATATGCATGATTCATTTTTGTACTTTAGTAAGTGTAAACTTTGTATAAACGTGGTTATTGGTCAATTGCGTCTGTTCTATTAGGTTTACCTTTAAAAACATCTGTGTGAAAATACTGCTTTAAGGAGCGCGTATTTTCGTAGTGATAATTGCCTCACAGAGAAATAGGCAGGATCATGATAGCTTAGAATCGGAAATGCAAGTGAAGTTTGGCCAAACGAAGGCAACTTCTACTCGGGGTTAGAGGGTACAAATGGTATCTTAGCGTAGAGGATGCAAATTGCATCTGTTAGAAGACATTAGTGGACTGGATCAAACGAGCAAGACCTTTTGAAAACAAAGCAAAGATGGTGGTTCTTGTGGAAAGAAAAAAAAAACTCTCCCCTAAAACGGTAAATACATGCAGTCGTTGTAGTTGGCCAATTTCATGAACGGCTTTTTACAGTGACTATTAAGGCACTCCTGGATCACTTAAAATGCATGAGTAGTTCAACCCACCCCAGTTGAGGTCACCCGTAGGTCCAACAAGCAAGGTTAGGTTAAGTTAAGAGCGTGATGGGTTACCTCCTTCAAGGGCATTCCTTTCAGGGCGAAATTCCGGTGTCATGCGCAGGTAGAAAGTTTAGAAAGGTCAGACATGCGCTGTAGTTACATGCTACGCTCAGATAACGAGTGGGGTTAGTACCTTTAAAATTTAAAGGACTCCACTATTGAAGAAATGACTTTGGAAGGAAATTTCAATCTAAATTTCAGTCGTTTATACGTCGACAAATTGAAGCTTTAGAAAAGTATTAAGTTTGTTAAGACATTTACAGTTTAGAGACAGCGTGGCAATTACTGTAGATGTAAAAATGGTTATGTTTCTTTCCTTTAAAGATAACTTCATTCCTGCGGAATTTCAATGCTGCAAGCCACAGCGCGAGCGAGCATAAAAATGAACGATTAGTACAACAAGTATAATTATGCAGAATATCTTCATAAAAACATACAAGCTAGGAAACGTATAGTTTGAATGAAAGTGCATTGTTGTTGTGTTTTGTTGTTCTTTTTACATGGCTATTATGAAGATATAGCGCAGACGATATCGCGTAATTTACTCAATAGTTACACAAAGCTTTCTATGTTCACCATTTGTGATTCTATGAAAGTCATTTATGTGATTATTGTCAAAGTAAAACATAACATATTAATGCCAGCGGTATTTTGGTTGTTTGATTTTGGTAACCAAATCCAACGTGGGCTTCTTCAATTGGTTTCTGTCGAAATAACATTTTCATTTGAATTGTATTTATTTGAAATACATAAAAATTTTGCTGCTAAAACATTTTTGTTTCTATAAAGCACTGAATGAAACGCACTGAATGAAACGGTGCAAAATAGGGACGTTTAGGTTGCGCTAGGTGCAACTCCTTTTAATGTGGATTAGATGAGCAAATCACACATTTTAAGAAATTCCCTCCAGTTAAACAATTTTCTCGTTCAAAGTAGAAAATTGTCCGGTTCGGTGATCGATTTAATTACGTGTAGTTAAACTGAAATATGGCAGCTTCGGTTCGTTATTTGTACGTTTAAAATGACGAATGATTACAATATCTATAATACCTTTGAAAATACTAACAAAGTGTTAGGCTTGGAAGGGTATATGAAAATTTCGTTTTTTTGCTTTTGCTTTTGTTTTGGTTTCTTGGCTCATTGAAAAGTAAGTAAAGTTTATTGTTTATACGGGTCCCCTGGCGTGCGGAACTTCGGCTAAAATCCCTAGCGGTTTTTTCCTGTTCAGTATTCTCCAAGTCCTTACGACTTCGGTCTTGGTTTATACCGTTCAGGTTTTTCCGCTGGAATTTTTTATTTTGGTTAGGTCTTCAAAAAAAAAATGACCTTGATGTGGAACTAAATTTGTACTTCACGTGTGTTATATATAAAATCATCAGAACTTAAAATTCAATAAGAGGGAGTAAAAAAACACTTAATAAAGTTTAGAGGTATATGGTTATTTGTATTGGTCATTTCTATTCGGTCATTTACAGTAGTTAAGAAGACTTTAAACATTGGCGAAATTTATATATTTAACATTTGAAAAGCACAATTTTCGTGTAATTTTAGGGGCTATATGTAGAGCTTTTTTAACTATTTTATAGTGACATCAAATCGCACGCTTTTGTAAGGAGTAATATACTGGTTGTACTAATATTTATTACGTCAAACTTTTCACTAAAAATGCTTTTAAACAAGCACATCAGAACTGAATTTTACTAGAAAATCGATTATAGCGCTCTTGCCTTCGTTTCATTCATTAGTCATAAAAAACCACTTTCTTGGTTTTTTTATGACTAAATATTGGGCTAGCCAGATATGGACAATCAAATGAGTCTTTTATTTCTATGACATTGAAATACATTTTTTGCGTCTCTAAATCTAGCTCCCAGCTGCATAAATAATCTTACTTAAAACTGATTTCAGAAAAGTTAAATATAAATAAAAGGAATTTCATGCTTTGTATTTTATAATTAATTCTCGGCTAGCCAGACATGGACAGTGAAACGAGCCTTTCACTTATATGACGTTGAAATACGTTTTTTTGCGCAACAGATTCTAGCTTACAGTTACAAAATAATTTTACTGCAAAGTGATCTAAAAAGTCAAATTTAAATTAAGAATGAGATCACCACATTCACCATCAACACGTTAAGTCAATACCTGCATCGAAATAGAAAATAGAATTGAAATCGGTTTTACATTTAGTCGGATATTTCCCAGTTGTAAAAAAAGAACAGTGTCACAAAAATTAAGGGAGTGATTCCAACTATAAACAGGAAGAAATAATGAATCGA